TGTGTGTGTGTGTGTGTGTGTGTGTGTGTGTGTGTCTTTCAGAGGGGGGGGGGGAGCATATTGAGACAGTTCTTTAGTTTATGCACTATATAACACTCTAATATTATGCCTTTGGGTCTTCTGAAATTTTAATTATCCAATCATAAGCAAAAACAATGTTTTCAGTAGAATGAATTTCCACTTCTACTTACACCTGCCAGCCAAAATGCTGATAGTGGTATTGCTAACGTGGGCTGAGGAGGAAAACCTAAATTTTCTGAATCCTGGTGCAACTTTGTCTGTGAGTGTGTGTGTGTGTGTGTGTGTGTGTGTGTGTGTGCGTGTGTGTGTGTTTGAGAGAGGGGGGGAGGGAGAGAAGGAGGAAGGAAGGAAAGGGAGAAGAAAAAGAAAGAAGGAAACTTATTTAGCAAAGGAGAAAAACAAATGGTGTCACTTTAAATCAGAACTGAGCATGCCTGGCTGAGGAATTCTGGGAGATGAAGTCCACAAGTCTAAAAGAATTGCTGCCTCACCAGCCATAAAACTCACCGCACGTCATTGTTTAAGAGGGGAGGACTTCCACTCCCAGAATCCCCCAGTCAGCTATGCTTTAAGAGGGGGGGACTTCCACTCCCCAGAATCCCCCAACCATCATGTTTTAAGAGAGGAGGACTGGATGCTTACAATTAGTTTTCCAATAGCTGCATCACCAGAGTTGCAATTAAAAAAAGTCAAAGCTGCTAATGATTGCCAACTTCCTCTTTCCCACAAGGCTTCTTGGCTGCCTCATCCAAGATGGCAGCCCATTCCCAGAACCCCCTCTGCCTTCAACCTCCTTTCTTCCGCCTCTTTCATGTTTCTGCAGGCGACCACCGAACCCCCGAAAAAAAAACCAGATCCCATCACATCCGAAACCGTGGTGATCTGGGGTTTGCGACTCTGGCAAGTGGTTGGGATTTTTGCCATTTTTGTGCTGAGTGTCAGTAAGTGATCTTCCTTCTTTTTTAAAAAAAAAAAATCCCGTCCTTTGAGTACCTGTTTTATTGGCAGGGGGGGTCAAAAAAGTCAAAATGGCAACCGAGAATTGTCATTGTACACTTGTATCTGACATCCTGAGTTTTTTTCCCCCCACCTATTTCGTGTGGATAGGCCTTTTGGAAAATATAAAAGGAACAAGTTTTGGTCTCCCCCCCCCCCCCAGTAGAGATAGTCCTTGACTTACAATCGTTCCGTTAGTGATGGTTCAAAGTTACAACGGCAATATAAAAATAAGTTTTCCACACTTACGACCGTCACAGCATCCCCATGGCCACGTGATCAAAATTCAGAGGCTTGGCAACTGACTCATATTTATGACGGTTGCAGTGCACTGGGGTCACACGATCCCCTTTTGCGTCCTGGGGAAGGCGGATTCACTTAACAACCATGTTACCAACTCATCAACTGCAGGGATTCACTTAAACAACGGCAGCAAATGGAGCAAAAACTCACTTAACAAAGATCTCGCTTAGCAACGGAAATTTGGGGCTCCATTGTGGTCGTAAGTTTAGGATTATCTCTATGCATTCTAATTTCTAGTCGCACAAGTACAGGGATGCTGCAACAGTTACAAGTGTGAAAAACGGTCATAAGTTGGTGCTTTCAATGCCTTTGTAACTTTGGACAGTCGCTAAACGAACAGCTATATAAATCAAGGACTGTGGAAAAGCCAACGGCACCCCCATCAGGAGCTGCCTCTGTAGCTCTTCAGGTTGGACTGCTGCCTGCAGCGGAGAATCTGGATGGGTTCTAAGAGTTATATATATATATATAATGGCGGCACGGTTGACAGGATTCGAACTCGCCCCTATCCCCGGGAGTTAAGCAAATGGCAACTGTTCCACCACACGCCCCATTGATTCCACCTGGCACGGGCCGTTTTCCAGGTCTGCCGCCTGCCTGCTGGCATCAGAAGAGGAAGAGTGGAAGAAAATGTTCCCGGACAGGGGAGGAAATATTTGCACCGTCAAAATAGGCCTCATTGCGGGAAAGGCAGCCAGATTTTTCCCGCGGCTGACAGTGAAAACAGACCCACCGAAAAAGCTGCCAGGAAGAGAAAACAAGGTTTTATTTTTTTATTTCCGAGGCAGATTTAATTTCACGAGCGTTGTGCAGGGAGTGCGCGCCGTGTATGCCGGACGGCGGAGTTACTCAAAGCGTTTTGAGTTTGCCAATTGGCACGTGGTCTGGCTCCACGCTTTATCTGACTTTTCCCAGCAAATCTTTCTCAGCAAGGCATCAAAAGGGCTTGAGAAGGCTTTCTTTGGCAAAGAAGGAACCAGGCTCCTATTGTGGAGGTTCCTAGACAGGGGGAAGTCCTCAACCTACGACCTTTCATTTAGCAACCGTGCAAAGTTATAGTGGTACTGAAAAAAGGGATTGTTTTAATTTAATTTAGCTTAATTTAGTTTATTTAATATGCTGTCCATTTTTCAAGTGATTTAAGGCCACTTACAGTGACGTAAATCACCGTATAGTTAGTCGTCAACGTAACCTTTTTTTCTTTTTCTTTTCTTTCTTTCTGTCTTTCTTTCTCCTTTCCTTTTTCCTTTTTCTCTCTTCCTCTTTTCTGCATATTTCTTTCTCTTCCTTAGTTCCTTTTATTTCTTTCTATTTCTTTTTCTTTCTTTCTCTCTTTCTTTCTCCTTCTTTCCTATCCTTTTCCTTTTCTTTGTCCTGTTGCTCATTTCTTTCTTTTTCTCCCTTCCTTCTTTCATTTACCTTTCTCCTTCTTCCTTTCTTTTTTCTCTCTTCTCCCTTCCCCTTCTTCTTCTTCTTTCCCCCCTTCTCTTTTTCCTCTTTTCTTCTCTCTTCTTTCTTTTCATTTCATTTTTATTTCCCCCTTTTTCTCCGTTCTGCACCTTCATCTTTTCCCTTTTCACCATTCAATTCCAATTGTTAAAAATTTAATCCAGTGGTCTTTCCTTAGGGGGGGGGGACCCCAAATGTGTGTGTATGGAGGGTGTCCATCCTCACATGGGGGTGGGGGAGAGCTCCTTAGCTGACTAAGCCTCTCCCTCCTTTCTCTCCAGTCAATTCTCCCTTCTTTCTTCCCTGTTTTTAGTCATCACCCTCTGCTGCATCTTCAAATGTCGCATCCCGAGGACCAAGA